GAGAGAGAGAGAGAGAGAGAGAGAGAGAGAGAGAGAGAGAGAGAGAGAGAGAGTACCTTGTGCCATCGGAGGTAGGCCGAGGTCGTCGTAGGCCGGCGGAGGTAGGCAGAGGCCGGCGGAGGGTGGCTGACGCAGGAGCAGGCAGGTGGAGGCCGGCGGAGGCAGGCGTAGGCAGGCGAAGGCAGGCGAAGGCAGCGCGGAGGCAGGCCGACGCAGGCGGATGTATGAGGAGGCCGGCGGAGGCCGGCGGAGGCAGGCACAGGCAGGCGCACGCAGGCGGAGGCAGGCGGAGGGAGGCGCTGACAGGCCGACGCAGGCAGGCGCACGCAGGCGGAGGCGGGCGGATGGATGTCGGGGTATGCGCAAGGTTGGTGGATGGACGCAGAGTGGCATAGGACAGTCGCGAATGATGCGTCTGTTCTGGGCAAGAGTTGGTAATCTGAATAACGGTGGCAGAAGGGCACTGGGCCCTCGAGAAGAACGAAAAAAAAATAAAAAAATTGTCGGCCTATTTTCGGTTGCTACCGGGCTTGGTTTCGTTTGTGCCGGCCTGCCTTTTTTTTTTGGGTACCGTCCTCTTTCGCGGTGAGTACCGGCCTCTTTTTTGTTGGGCCTGTTCTCCATCGCTGCCTCTTTGCGTGGTCACGAGAACATGAAGGTACCGGCCTCTTTTTTGTTGGGCCTGTTCGACATAGCTGCCTCATTTAGGGATGCCAAGACAGGAGAAGAGAAGGAGATTATAGTACAAATCTACAATAGGGGAGACATGAACATCTGAGCATAGAGGTATCTATGGTTGATGAGTTGACAAGAGGAGGATAGACGAAAGGAAAGCGGTAGAGAAGATAAGAACAAAGAGGAGTGCAGCGTTGTGTCCTCCATTGATTCCGCGATGACTCGCAAAGGTATGTGTGATGGGAAACTATCCTCTCTCTCCCATTCMCCTTTTTTTTTTTTTCGTTTTTCCATTTTTTTTTGTAGTGCGATTTGGGGGACTGAGCGAACAGGGKGGGGAAAGGTGCTTCACGCATGGCGAAACTATGAGGTGGGGTGGGGGGGGGAGAAGATCTCCATCTTATCTCCCCCTCCAATCTCTTTGCTTTTTTTTTTTCCGTTTTTTTTAATTTGGCATTGCAATGTAGGGGACTGATCGAACAGGGTGGGGAAAGCTGCTTC